TAGAGACAGGGTCTCGCTCTTGCTCAGGCTGGTTTCGAACTCCTGACTTGAGCAATCCGCCACCTCAGTCTCCCAGAGTGTAGGATTACAGGCGTGAGCCACCCGCCAGGCCGAGTTGTTTTTTAATAGGGAGAAAGGCGGGGGTCCAGTCTCATTCTTCTGCATATGGATATCCAGATTTCCCGGGCGCCCGGCCTTGATCACTACCCATTCTATGTATCACAGCATCACTATGTACCCCCAGGAATATATACAATTATTCTGTCAATTTTTAAAAAAAATTTTAAGAGACATAAAAATATTCACTTCCCAGGATTCTGTAGTCCTCCAAATCCATAGAGAATTACCAAATACATACAAAACATCTGGGAGAACACACATACCACGGAGGGAACTGCATTGGGAACAGGGACCAGGGAGCCATTGCTAGCCTTATCAGTATTTGAATTTTGTTTTGTTTTTACAACATGCATATACTCAAATATTACAGTTTAAAACAGTTAAAATTTTAAATTTTTTATCATTTATAGTCTTTTCCCCTTCACACTCTTTCCTCTCAACACCTCCCTTTTATCTACTTCTCCACCTCAAGGATCCTAAATGATAGTATACATATCTTCCTTTTAACAAAATTCATCTTACTATACCATATCCTTTTTCTGACTAAGATGACAGTGAATGGATAAATCCAAATTTCTAGGTATCAGTGCCTCTCATTTTGTTAATAGTTAAGGACCCTGCCAAATTCTAATCTTCAGTGTTCAAGGATCTTATAAACTACTTTTTTTTTTTAAACTAGAGTACTTATTTAAGAAAAACAGTATGGATGCCAACTAAACATCTATCATCTAATAAATCATAGGAATTAAGCATGAAAAATGAGGTAAACTTTAGGATACTCAAGAATCAACTCTAGCAGTACTTAAGAATCAACAGGGGTGCGTACTGAAAATGATCATTTCCCATCCCAGTCCCTCACTCTGAATTAGAAGCAGAGGGAAGCCCCAGAATTTGAATTTTTAATAAACATCTCCCTCTTCCAAACAATTGTATAGCAGACAGGCCTTGGATAGTGTTTTGAGAAACACATCACAGCTATGTTCCCTAAGCACTGTCCACAGTAAAAGCAAAAGATTTTGTTTCAAAGACCACAAAGCTGAACAGTAGTCACACTAAGCAGGTCCTAGATATCAGTTCCCTCGCCCCCAAGAATTGCAAAAAATATAACAATTAAACTGTATTTACTTTGTTGGTTGGACCATTATTTTCTTCAAGCTCCCAGAGACAATTATCCTAACTACTATTAAGGATTTTAGCTGTCACCCACAGTCTTGTTATACAGAGACATTTTCACACCTGGGATGCAATACAAGGGGCTTAATGGAATTTTTATGGCTGTGAAAATTAAAGTTCACTTGACTCAACAGAATAGTCAAATAAAACAAAGGAGAAAACCTGCCCCAAAGGCATGGGTTGAAAGCAGAGGTTTTGACTTCCTGATGAGCTAGTTTTGCCCAGAAATTCAAACCATGGGATGCTACATAGCTCATATGTCTTTAGAGTGCCCAAATGTCAACTTATCACTGCAGCATCAGCCAACGCAGGCTTACTGTAACATTTGGAAGCACAAACCTGCTGTATAAAATGGCCTCTCCTGGGAGACAAAGGCTGTCGCCATGGCGGGGATCATTCCATCTTGGGGCCAGAAGGACCAGGCAGTCCTTTTAATCTTTAACGAGCCACTTTCACGTTCAGATATAGGAACTGGCACTGCATGAGGCTCAACCTGCTTCACAGCACTTTCCTGCAAAACAACCCCCAAGCTGTGTGAGGGCATGCTAACCCAGTCTGTCCCCACTGGTACATTTACCAGAATCTGTTCTATATAATGCAATTATGGGCACTTTATTATCCACTATGGTATAATACTTCAGAGCTCAGAAAAGGTATCCAATATCGAGAGTCTAGCAATTGCCTACCTCAGGCACAATGAAATACTAGGTTCCTGTATGTCAGTAATTGAAAAAGTAGCAAGCATGCAGGAAAAGGAAGAATCCAAAGCTGCCAGGACACAGCCTGAGGACCTGATGACAAGATGGGAAGAAAGGAAGTCAGCAACGTGACCAAACTGCTATCTTGGGCAGCTCATTTCAGAAACCTGGCAACGGAAATCTTGGAAGCATTTGATGGGTGTAATTTTCTACATAAAACTATTTCTTGTTTTCTCCTTGAGCTGCTGATACAAAAAAAGGGCAGGGAAAAGGCCCTTGTCATTCAGACTCCATCACCTGAACAAACTATAATAGCTTCATAATGAAGTGACTATTAGGCCTCCTGTCCTATTACTTACCTTGCCCCATAAATCATCTCTCTCAGAACAAAGATTCTGTAATTCAACTCTGAAGACTTCCTGAATTCATAATTCTTCTTTACCATACATTGCTGGATTCTTCTCCTCCCCCAATACACACTAACGCGCTCTCTCCCTCACACACATGCCCCTCCAGTAAGTTAAACTTCCTAAACTTTCACCCTGGTTTCCACTAAAAATGCCACAGGATTAAGTTACCTTTGTTCACGTCCCCAAGTCTAGGGGGCCTTTGCTGACATGCGTTTCATCTGGAAGGGTGATTTCCAGCCAAGTAGATAAGATTACCTGTTTATTACCTACAGCCAGTCTTCGAACTGGCTTCTGCAGACCATGGAAATAAAAGGATAAGACCGCACAGCTTGAACATCCCATCAATGTAATCAAAGTAATGTACGAGGAAGAGAAGACAGGAGAGATTTCAAAATAAAGACTGAACTGCACATTTCAGTAGCACTTAAGAAAACACTCCATCTGACTAAGCAGCTGACAAATACCCAAAGGACTGTGCATTCTCTGAAGATTATTATGTTCACAGTTCTCACTGCCCCCAAGGTTCTGCGAGAGATCACATCATAAAATCAGCCCTGCATTATTTATAATAAAGTGGATAGAAACATCCTAACATCCAGAATTAAAGCTAATAAAACTAGAAACTTATTTCAACCCAAATCCACGTAACAAAAAATAAAACTTATTTTCTTTAGATCTTCCCAAAGTACCTCTCATCCCTTTTATTTTTTATTTTTTTATTTTTTTGTTTTAAATTTAATCAGATTACTTAGTAAAACTGATTTGCCTGACAGAGAAGATTTTGAGTTGTGTATTTTTAGCTCTCTCTATGAACCTGCCTTATACGGTGTTGCAGTGGTCTGTTGACTTGCTTCTTAACTCCCCTGCTGTGGTTTCCTGGAGAGCAGGGGCCAAGAGGAACACTCTGTACGCAGCAGCAGTAGCTAGCCCAGCCCTGCTCCAGTGTAGTGCTGCCAGTGAACAACAATATGATTTCAGAACTATCACTTTTCTTGTTAATCCTTTGTAAATTTGTCTTGATTACTATAGCCCAGAAAGACCCTAAAAACTTGTTCAAATTGTTTATATTTTTTGTCAAATGGTCCACACCAGAAGTAACTACTATTAAATGTTTCTAGACTTGTTAACAATATGTGTTTTATATATATCTCTCTCTCTGTTATGTATGGTATGTATATATGTGTGTGGTATCTATTATATATCTAAATATTTACTGTATTCCCACCCTGCTGTTTGCAGTGCTTTCTTTCAAATGGGTAATGTATTATGGACATTTTTTTCATGTGAATTATTTTTTAAGCATTTAATGCCTAGGACAGCA